TATATATACATATATACATGCTACTGTTCTGAGCCCGATTAAAAAGTGAACATGAGGGTTTTAAAAAAGGTTGCATTCATAAAAGAAGCGTTTCTGCACAACAGCAGCTTATAACTTGATGGTGTCAATAGTAAACATCCAAACTGAATTCCTCTCAGTAGATGGCACCACTTCACACCATAGTCCTCTTTTTTCTCCATTAGAATGGAATAAAATTTAACTTTCAAACGTTGTTGACTGTTAAATGCTACCTTGACATTCACATTGATATTTAGTGTACTGTGTAAAAAAAAAACCTTGCTTTTAATGACAACATGTTTACTCTTTAGTCAGCTTTAGCATGTTGTTGGTTTTCTGACTCCTTAGGTGAAAAGATAAAACTCAGAACGTGTCGTTTTCCTCTCTTACCTGCAGTTCTTTGAGTGTATGAGAAGCCTGGGATGCTGACGACCATGCTGTTGCTTCCTGTCTGTGTGCTACTGATGCTTGGGGCGCGTGCTCTTGCTGGAGGCTATGCTCCCGTACCCCACATGAAGTACATGCAGCCTATGATGAAAGGACCCATTGGACCACCATTTCGAGAAGGCAAGGGACATTATGTTGGTGAGTAAGGCTGTTGTTTGGTGTTGCATTTAGCTTCAGCTGTTTAGCAGTTTAGGCAATATTATTTAACGCAACTTTAAATGTACGTCTCATTTACACAAATACCCACACATACAACTGTTTCTGCAGACAGCTGGGGCCCAATGAAGCCCTGATTGCCAAGTGTTAGCAAAACTCCACAAGCTGCTCCTCTCACCATCTGGATACCGTTACCCCACTGTTTTATCACATATTTTCCATAGGAGAGTGTGAGGGAAATCAAAATAGATTACATAAAAAAAGGTGAAAGGTGAGAATGTGGTGGGGATGGGCATCATTGCTAAGAAAAACACGTTCTCATCATTATTAAATTGGACTCTAACGACTGTGGAAACGTTCAGGATCACCTGAGAGGCGCTGTGTAGAATCAGAGGCCTGTTTTCTCTGCAAATTTTAAAGCACATCAAAAAGAAAATATACAGGCGGAGTAAAAGTAATGTTTTATCATCTAATTGGAGAAACATTAAAAAAGGCATCTGGAGTTGAGAAATAATTCAGAGTTGACATCAAGTGTTTCACAATCCCTTTACTACCACCCAGTGGTCACATGTTCACATTACATCACTGCTCATTTAAATGACAAAACTTCGATCGTTTTGTACACACATCATTATTGTTGTTGTTTTATATATCATAAGGTATGATATATGAAACAACAATAATAATGATTAAAAGAGGAGGGTTTTAAGATGGCACCAAATGTTGAGAAACATACTTCTTTTTATAAATCTTTTTTAAAAAAATGAGGTAACTGCAACCTTTTTGTTCTTCTCAAACAAACCAAAGTAATAATAAATGAAAATGCAACCAAACAAACTGAGCTTTTGTCACTTTATATTTTCAGTAATACATGTTTACTATCTGAAATTATAAAGTGACTTTGGGCACTAAAAAACTTTCTACTTCACTGTCACAGCTTTCAGTTTTTCGTGACTGACGTTTGTGTGACTGCAGTGACTGCATGTCTTAATAATTGCCACTAGAGGGAGGTAATGGACTAATTTCAAAGATGCAATRAGCAGAATTTTAGGAAAAAAAGGGAAATAGTGACCAGCAGCAGCTAGAAACATGCTGGGAGCTGGCTTGTGGATTGTTTAACTTTAAAACAATTCATTTAATTCATTAAATCATCAAAAATCTTAATAGTCATTAARCCAAGGGCGTAAACCACATTAGATTGCTCTTACTATTTAATTTAATATAACTATTAAACCAGACAAAATGGCCAATCGAGTTGTTGCTTCATTTTGTCACTGGACATGTTAACATAATTTGCTTTTTTTATGTACAAAATAATGAGCTGTATTTTAAGATGAGATGTCAAATTTGGGCCAAACGTTTGATACAAATAATAATAATAATAATAATAATAATAATAATAATAATAATAATGATGATGATAATAATAATAATAATAATAATGATAATAAAGGTTTTAAATAAGTATAAAAACGTGAAAATATAATCAACAATTAAAATGTAAAAAAAGAAAAAAGAAACACATCAAACTGAATGTTTTTTCAAATAAACAAACATCAGTACCCTGATTTAGAGCCACAGTCTGTTAGTCTTTTTATCTCYCTTAAGACTCTTTGGTTGATAGAGGATTGTTGTGTTCTGGAGACCTAAATTGTATTTTTCTACAAAGGATCTGTTTTCTCACAATTTTTTTTTAAATTTTTGTTTTTGTCTTGCAATTTCTTGAACATTTTAGAGAAGTTTTTTAAATATGCTGGATCTTCAGTGACCATCACCTCCTGTTCTTTTTTATGTGTATTGTTCAAACCTGTGAGAGTTGGGAAGTTATAAAATCAAGTTTCTGTACAAACGTTTGTGTAAATTGGAGCAAAAATGGTTTTAAAACTCTTCAACATCTGTTGATGAAGATCAATCATTTTATTCTATTTTTCTAACTAATTGATCATTTTTCCAGATATGCCACCCATGATGAAGGGGGAAACTGGCCCTCAAGGAAAACCTGGACCAAGAGGCCCCCCTGGGCCACCAGGACTTCCAGGAAAACCCGGACTGGGAAATCCAGGTCTCAATGGACAGCCTGGCCCTCAGGGGCCTCCTGGTTTAACAGGAATTGGTAAGCCTGGACTTCCAGGTCTGCCTGGAAAGATTGGACCAAAAGGGTTTCCAGGAATTAATGGCGAAATTGGGCCTCGTGGTGAGCCAGGTTCCCGTGGACCTCCTGGGCCCCCTGGCATCCCTGGTCCAGCTGGTCTGTCTCTAAATGGAAAGCCTGGACTCCCAGGTATCAGAGGTCCCCCCGGGACTCGTGGTGAGCCAGGAATAAAAGGCCTTCCTGGCCCACCAGGTGAACGTGGACTTAAAGGTGAAAATGGAAATGGAAAACCAGGGCCCACGGGTTTAAGGGGTCCTCCAGGTTTGAAAGGCAGTACGGGGCCACCTGGTTTATCAGGCATTGGCAAACCAGGACCAAAAGGTTTGCCTGGACTGCCTGGATTTAAAGGTGATCAAGGACTTCCAGGAGATCTAGGAGAACCAGGAGAACCAGGGCCACCAGGTTTACAAGGTCTGCCAGGGCCAGTTGGGATAGGAAAACCTGGTCTTGATGGACTTCCAGGATTACCAGGTCCAGTGGGTCCAAAAGGTGAATCAGGGGTCCGGGGAAATCCTGGCATGCCTGGGACACCAGGCTATGGAAAACCTGGTCTAATTGGACCTAAAGGAGAAAAAGGTCACGGTGGACTTCCTGGTCTTCCGGGAGACAAAGGGGAAAAGGGATTGATGGGTCCAGGTGGGCAACCAGGTCTTGATGGATTACCAGGACCGACAGGTATTCAAGGGCCAAAAGGGCTCCCAGGAAACCATGGAATTCCTGGGCTGAAAGGAGACATAGGACCCCAGGGCCCCCCAGGATTGCCTGGACTTAGAGGTGACCAAGGCCCCAATGGGATCCCTGGTAAATCTGGAATCCCAGGTGAAAAAGGCATCCCTGGACCTAATGGTCCTATTGGAAAACCTGGTCCCAAAGGTGAGCCAGGACTAATTGGCCAACCTGGTAATCCAGGGCTGACAGGTGGTCCAGGGCCTAAAGGAGAGGCTGGATTCATGGGGACCCCAGGCCCCAGGGGCCAGTCAGGCATTCCTGGTCTCCAGGGGCCTATGGGTCCAATGGGCCCACAGGGTGTCCCTGGAACAAGGGGTGAACCTGGACTTCCAGGGCCTCCAGGGCTGGGGAAGTTTGGCGAAAAGGGAGGAATGGGTCCCCAAGGTCCTCCAGGGAAACCAGGCCCTGCTGGGCTTAACGGTCACCCTGGCTTGCCTGGTCCTCCAGGTCCTCCTGGTCCTCCGGGAAATGGTCAAACTGTTGTTGCAGGGCCCACGGATACAGGGTTGGGTGGGGAGGAAATACCAGGCAGGAAGGGGCCTGCGTTCACTCAAGTTCCACTCTCTGCGTCTTTAGCACCCGCCTTCACGGCCATTCTCTCCACTCCGTTCCCTCCCTCCAGCATGCCAATCAAATTCGACAGGACTCTGTATAATGGACAAAATGCCTACAGCACCTCYACTGGCATGTTCACCGCTCCGGTATCCGGTGTCTACTACTTTGCTTACCACATGCATGTAAAGGGAACCAGCTTGTGGGTGGCTTTGTACAAGAACAATGTACCAGCCACTTATACTTATGACGAATACAAGAAAGGCTATATGGACCAAGCATCTGGTAGTGCTGTCCTAGAGCTTAAGGAAGGCGATGAAGTATGGGTCCAAATGCCTTCAGATCAAGCAAACGGCCTTTATTCTACCGAGTACATCCACTCCTCYTTTTCAGGGTTCCTGCTCTGTCCCACATAACCTTGCCCTTTCCTTGATCTTGTAACAGTGCCTCAGAGCAGCCCTACCTAATGTCAAGATACCTGCAGTCATAAAAGAAACACAAAACCAGTAACGTTGTCACCTTGTTTCCATCAACTTATCTTTCTCACCCTCGACAATATCAGCTCAGCAAAAAAGAAAAACTTTGTGAATAAAATAYGAAAAAAAGGCAGGGGAAGGTTTCTTCATGCTGTGTTCCTTATTTTAATGTGTTTTCGTTTTGTCTGGGKTTTTTTTTAGCCTCTAATGTTTTAATTATTTTATTATGTTTTATTGTTATTTGATCCTTGTCGTCATTGCTTGTGTTCGTTGGATTCAGAGTTTTAGCTGCCTGACTTTGTATTGTGACTGCATATCCTGCCCGCATGCTCAGACAATGAGGTTGACATGACCAGACCTTGGAAGAGGAGGGGKGGTTAGCTCCCCTGGCTGCAGTCACGCTTGTATGTGTTATTTAAACCATTACCGTCAACACGAGCAGTAGTTCATCAAAAGAAATAGAGAGAAATGAMGTAATACAACAAAGTGTGTGATGGTCTGATACTATTACTTTGCCATTGCTACCCCCTTCTCTTATTTTTTTGTTTCTGATTTGTTTGGTGCTCTGAAACAATAGTAAATTTTAAGTTTTCAGCTGAAACTCAACACCTTCATCATTGTGAGAACTTTATTTTATGATTAAATCAAATAAAATATGACTTCACAATAAAATAGCCAAATTGATACTTGTTGGATCACTGTCCTGCTGAACAGGATACTATGCAAAGGCATATTTGTAGGGTTTGTGTTTACATGCCATCGAATACATAAGTGGATGATACAGCCTTTTTTTGTTGTTTTATCATGTTGGATTAAAGGGGGGAGGGTGTTATGCAAAATCAACTTTTTTTTTAGCTTTATATACTGTTATAATATYATTCCCTCATCAAAACATACCCAGAGTGTGTCTTAGACTCATTCATGAATGTTTAAAAAAAATCCTTGAATCATGTGGTAGCCATGTAGATCTGCCTAAACACTAGCTGGTACAAAGCTCCGCCTATTTGTACAAAGCTCCTCCCTGGAGCTCAGTCTGCCACCGAGCTCCCGCCCCCCACAGAGCACCCCTCCCCGAAGCATTGTTGTGACGACGTGCTGAAGTGGGAGTGTCAGAAACGGTAGGAGGTTCTCACAGAGACAGAGGCCTATTACAAGTGTTTAGAACAAATTGTTTTTTAATTATTATTTTTAATTATTTACTAAAGGTAAAAAACTATGTGCCTGGAAAATATATAATAACCCCCCTTTAAAATTTAGTTTTCTTATGTTGATCCGAGTTTCCCTGTTTGCACTGCATCATCAGCGCTCTGATCATAACATCACTGATTTCTAACATACACTAATAAATCATCATTATGCATCAATCTGCTCAAACACGGTCCTTAATAACATAGTATGAAATATGTGAAGATTACATGCTCATATAGGGATTTTTTTTTGYGCTTTTTCAGTTTCTTGGTAAATTTAAACAACTTTGAAACTCTTGTATTCCCAACGACTGTCCATTCAGCTCCAAACCAATTTGTTAAAAAAAAGAAAAGAAAAGGAAAAGAAAATCCAAAGGAAAAATTTTTGTTTTGCCTGATGACACAGTTGTTGCTGTATGAACAGGGTGTTTCGATGCTAAATATTCTCCAAGTGTACGTCCGGAAAAAGAGAACCAGTTGGCATTTTCTACACGAATCAATAGAAAGACTGACAGAGTCTCACTGGTTGTGAAATACAAGTTGTGTAACTGTTTTTTTTTAATAACCCTGTCAGATTTTCCAGAACACATGGAAGGTCAAAGATAAGAGTTTTTGTATTTACTCACTTCTGTTGCATGAAGCATTAAAGCCCCGCCCCTCGTGTGCATGTATTTGTATGTTCCTCTCTCTCTCTCTCTCTCTCTCTCTCTCTCTCTCTCTCTCTCTCTCTCTCTCTCTCTNCTCTCTCTCTCTCTCTCTCTCTCTCTCTCTCTCTCTCTCTCTTCCTGTCAGATGTTTGTTTGTCTATGACTGTGTCACGCCACCCGCTTGCTTGTCGGGTCATGAATATTTCAGCAAAGGTAAAAATAAACTTGAACAAAGTTGCAAAAATGAAAAGGAAAAAAAAAACTTTTGGAAAGCTCACAGGCCCCTAGAGTTCCTGAAGTAAAGGTCAAGATTTTGGGGGACATCGGAACGTCTCGGCCTCTTATTTTGCAGCACAAGAGTTAGCTACTGAAAAGGGTGATGAATGTGACGTGAAAAAGGAAAAAAAAATGTTATTGAATACTGATCATCTTTTAAAAAACAACCATTTCTGGGCTACGCTGAGTGGGCTGATGTATATTGACTTGATGTTTGGAACAAGTCAAATAAAATGCTGCCTCACAAACTGTTTCCCACCTTGATAAAGGAATGTCAGCGTATTGGAGGACAGTGCCAAACATGTTTGACTGAACTTTGTATTGTTTCCTGTAATCATCCACAGTGCTGTCAATAACCTCCATTTCTTTCCGTTGCTCTGGATAAGCAGTGTGGATCATGCCTAATCAGTATTTTTTATCTATGTAATGCACTTACGCTTTCCCCCCACTCATAACATGAGCACACCACCAACTGTTTTATTATTGTCATTATATGATTCTGTAACACAGTCCATTACTTGTAATGTATGTTTTTTGTGCTTACCTTTCATTTTTAGACATAGAAAATACCGATGAGAGTTATAGCCATCTTTCTGTTTTCACAGACAATGTCACTAGTTTAATGAGCTCGCCTTGTGAGGCAAATCTTTAAACAAGTGTCAGTAAAATCCATCAACTGTTTCAATCACCAACGTTCTTTTCTGTTTTGTCTTTATTAAAGAGGTAATAATGCCAAGAATGACATAAACAAAGAAGAAAATCCCAACAGCTTTGCTTCGGTTCTTGAGGAATATTTGTTTTAGCTTCAGTAAACATTTGCACATGAAATAATGAAAGATGTATTTATACCTTATTGATAATTTAATAGGGATGCCAAAACTGACCACCGAAGCCTAGAATATATAAATGATATTTAATAGTGTTCATGACTTATTAGCCTTTACGACATGTAGTTAGCCTTCTAGATTTGTTTGTGAAGACTTATTTGTGGATCTTTTATTTTCTATTTGTGTTACGTACAACATATTAGTATATGTGTTTTGTTTGTTGTTATTATTGTATTTTTTTGTGTGTCATACACAGTTATTGCTTGCACTTTTTGCAATAGAATTTGGGTATAAAATGCACTTATTTTGATTGAAAATATTTGTTTGCTTATACAAAATCTACAGTACTTGATTGTATTGAAAACATCAATAAAAAATACTTTCTTGTATGTTGGTTCCACGTCTTGATTTTTGTGTGACAAAGTGGTATAAA